TTGAAACGGTTTTTCTGATCATTATCTTTAGGCAATAATTAAGCACTAATAAGTTAAAAAAGTTATTAAAAATTACTATAACAATATATTAATAACGTTAAAAATTTATATATTTTTTAAAATGAAATCAACCTGTCATTTATTTATTTACATATGGGATATATACAAGGCTCCAATATAAAGCAGGCGAAAAAAAGGACTTATCACCGGTCTTTGCGTTAATTATTAGTTTTGATTAGTACGAGTAATTAATTACGGTTTAGAAAATTAGAAGGGCGTCCAAACAAGACCTTCCTACTTCCAAAAAGTAGAAAAATTGTGGCAATTAAACAATCATTGCATTTTAAGGTAATAATGTAAATCTAATTATACCGAATTGACAATTAGAATGGAAGGTGTAGCATGTGTTTCTCAGCACCAACACAAACTCAGTAAACAGAAAAGATCATCATGTGCTGTATGAAAATGTGCTTAAAATGTCATAATCTCGAACCATTACCATTAGTGTATAACTAATTGTGACAACTAGGAAGAACTCCTCTAAATTAATATTGTATTTAAAGTGAGAGTATCCATTACTAATTTTAAAAAAATCTCTCTAAAATAAGATTGTATTTAAAGGGAGCATAAGGTTGTGTTTTTTTTATTAATTTAATTTCTAGAGCATTAAGATCTTAATATAATAAATTCTGAAAGTGATACATACTCATTTATAAAGGACACTTATGTTCATAGCAATCATTAATCAGCCACGAAAGTCTGCTGTCAACTTAAAGCATCTAAAATCATTTCAAGTACGACGCCTATTAGATGTAATCTAGGTCAACTATTTTATAATTATTTATGTACAAAAGGGAAAAAACTATAACTTAATATTATATTTGATTTAAGGAAAGAAAAGATGAATGGATAAAAAGAATATATATATATATATATATATATATATATATATCTTATTTGTTTTGGTTGAATAATAATAATAATAATAATAATAATAAACAACTATTATACCTTTATAAATATTATTGCAATTTATACAAAAAATTGTAAGCATGTTTTAAAAAATACAAATTATTTTATCACTTAAATTTTTTTCCTATATTATAAAAGAGACAAATTAAGGGTTTTCTTGTTTCCATTTGGTTTTTAATTTTTAAAATTTATATTTAAAAATAATTTTTTTAAAAGAATAAAATTTATGTTAACAAACATTTTTTTTAATTTTAAAAAATTTATTTTTAAAAACAAATAATATAATATAAAATAACAACTATATATCCTCTTTCCAACCAAATGCGTTGTAAAAGGGCGAATGCTCCTAAAATCAGCTAGAATAAGAAATTTGATTCATTAAAAAGTAAATAAATATATAAAACAAGAAAATAAAAATTTATTTGTTGTTAATTTTAATTCATTCATCTTACAAATTTAACTGACTATAAATTAATAGCAGATAAATTTACTTTCATTATTTGCAACTTAAATTATTTGTCTCATGGGCATGAAATAATGAATTCATTTCTATACTAATAAAAGTTAACACATTTTTACTATTAAATACATAACGGTGTGAAGGTGTCTTCTCCCTCCGCATCCATTCCCTAATATTTTCCACCAAACTCCATACAATCCCCAACATAATAATAATAGTATTAATATTTTTTATTCTCTTTTAATATATTTTAAATTATAAAAAAATTATATATATATATATATATATAAGAATTATTTTATTTTTAAATATTTGAAACCCATTAAAAATGAAATACAAATATCCATACTTATACAAGAAAAATCTCTAAAGTCGAGGTTTCAAGTAGAACAATTTCCATATAAATACCCTCGTGACGGGGAAAAGCTGAAATGGGCCCTGTGGTTCAGAACGATACTTTTTTTTTGTTGTCTGCAAAAATAAAACTATGTTGATGGGCTTCGGTTACACACTACCTGCGGATCATAATGAACATTGCAAAAACTAGCCCCGTACTCAGGTTGCACCTGGAGATTATGGGCCAAGGACACACTCTACAAGTGGGCCTCTCAAGCTTTATTTAATGGACAGTGTTGCAATCATCACCAGAGCAACGCAAGTCGATATGTCCGAGTGGTTAAGGAGACAGACTCGAAATCTGTTGGGCTTTGCCTGCGCAGGTTCGAATCCTGCTGTCGACGAGTTTTACCCATTTTGGAATAATTTCAATTTGAATTTTTTTTACATTATTATTAAAAATTGAAGTTTTTTGTTTACATTATTGTTAAAAATATGTTGTCATATTATAAGCAAGGGTTTAAGACATAAAGAAGTCGATAAATACTTTGAAAAGGATTATAGAGCTTCACTGTATTATTCAAAATTATAGGCTAAACTAAGTTGCTGACAAAAAAATAAAAATAAAAATCATGGAAACTACGACGAACAAGAAGGAAAGGTTGACTTGTAGTTATTTATTCTATACATATACCGAATTTGTACTATTAAAAAATTGAGACATATTTGTAATAGTTTTTTAAATGAATTTGTAAAAGTATTCATTACCATTCATAGTTTAAAATCTTTGAATATTTTTTCTTTCTAAAAGTGGCGTGATGAATTGATAATAGTTAGACCGAAAACTTGTTTACATTTAAAAAACTATTACCTTAATTTTGAAGTAGCAAATTATTTTTAAAAATTGAAATATAAAAAATATCTAACAATATATATCTTAATAACACTTTATACAGGTCACACAATTCAATATGTCTTCTTATATCGTTTTATATAAACTCATCAACTAATTTATCAACTTTTAATCAATTTTAAACTCAGCTTAGCTTTCTCTTTTTTTTTTTCGACTTATTTATTAGTTTTTGTTAAATACTCTCTTAGTTATTTTCTTATCAATTAGTCTTTTCAACAAAACGATCCGTTGGTATCTCTAGAGCACATCTCAAATCAATGTTTAAGCTTAATTACGTTCTCTTTTCGCCATAAAAGTTTAAGCTAGCTAGAATCAGTTGATTAGGATATTTTCATATCAATCAGTTGACGATGATCATGCATATGCGCGTACTCATATCTTTCACTTTGTTACCCAAGAAAAGCAGGAAGAGAAAAAAGAACAACAAAAGAAAATAAAATGAACGATGTGTCAAAATCTGAATCCTGTGTCCTATTTCTTTATCGCTTTGCCGCATGATTCAACAAAAGTTCACAATCGATTAAAAGGAATTGGTGGATATCACTTAGCTTCAAGCCTGTTGGGACGTGAGACATATAACTTTCTCAATGTTACCGAATATTCTTGAGTGGAAGACCAATGGTCAAAAGAAATATATCTGATAGCTGATAAGTCGTAGCATGTGGCCATGGTTTTTGTGTTGAATTCATAAACCTTTATGTTTCGTTTCATTTCAAATCCTGAATTTAATTCTTCTAAGATGTGACATGCATTTGAAAAATGAAAAAATATTCAAAGATTGACAATTAAAATTAATTATAATAAATACTTTTAGAATATGTACTTCTTTGAATCATATCCATGCAAATTACTTTAAATATCATATCATGTTGAGTTAAAGCCTAATAATTAAACATGCTATCAATACTTCAAGAGGAAATCACTTTTTTTCGCTCGCAATGATGCATTTGGCCATCGTCTTTTCTTTCACTTATCCTTTTGACGGAATTTTAGTTTTCTTAAAAAATTATTGCCTATATTATGTATGTATATGTATATGTATATGTGACGTACGTTACTGTGAGGTCCAAATAAAGGCAGAATGACATGTATGAATTATATAGTATATAGGAACCAAAAAGTAAGTAGAAATACATGTGCTAGTATCGATCTAAAACTTGCTCTTTGGCGTTTGGGAATTGTAATTTTCTTTTTGTTGCATCTTCTGCATTCTTTTCCTGCTTTTGGATCATAGTGCCAAGAGTCTGATTTGTTGGTCGGTACTCGATGGGCGATGAGTGTCCCAAATTATATCACAAGGAATATTTTGTTCATTGATATTTCATATAAGAAATTAAACAATCTAAATACGAATATAATATGTGGTCAATATTAATTTGTTGTTCTATTTTATTATTTTCAAAACAAAATCCTTATTACAATATCGAAGGTGGGGGAGGGAAGGAATACAGGCAATACTTAAGCTCAGAACTTTGTTCATTTTCTCTATTACCCTTCATTTCCTAATTAAGTATTATATCAACTTTAGCCATGTAATTGTAAACAGTAAACTAAGACTGGTACCTAATGTTAATCATAAAAGAAATGTTAGATGCTCCGTTTTTCTCTGACTAGTCAGCAACAAAGACAAAAAAACAAAACAAAAGATTGAAATAAATAAGGCCCTCGCCCCTCTAAAAGTTATGCCTCGTCCGTACGGAGTTGTTTTGGTAGCAGCTAAAATGGAATATATAAATGTTCCCTCACTCGTTAAATAGGTATTAAATGAATAAAGGAACTATACAGAGCTAGATAAAACAAATAAAAGAAAAAAAATCTTAGGATATATATTTGATAAGATAATTAATATAAAATGTTAGGAACTTCTATGCTTAATTGCATCGTCTGTCTCTTCTGATAAGCTTAGAATTTGATTCATTCAATGATATATATATATATATATAGACAACTACTGATGTAAATAATGAAACCGACATAATAATTATTTTTAAATATTATATTTTTACATCAGTAGTTGTCTATATATATATATATATATATATATATTGTTAACGGTTCTAATTAGTTAATTTGAACCTTCAACATCATGTGGATGATTTAGTTTATTATTGTAGTTGCAAAAAAGCACCAATTCATGGGCAATTCCTATATCATTTTCCGATTTGGTCTTCTTATTTTATTCAGCCACTAGATTTTGTATTTTAGTTTGTTAAAGTGAATTATTGGTATCAAGATTTAATAAAGAAAGCATCTAACATTGATCTCAATACTGTTAGTATTACTATTATATGATGCCCTACTTCTACCCCAACCCTAGCTAGCTAGCTTCAAAACAATCCCAAGGTGCAACCCTAAATTAAGGAATTAAACACCGAGTAAATATTAGCCTGAAAACACTGGCCACCAGCTTTTCTGTTCTACTTTATAATAAAGCAAAAGTAGGAATAAAAAGGAAACTGAATAGATGAAAGAAAGGAAAGAGAAAGCAACATAGGCAAAGTTCCTCAACCCCATCTCTATAAAATACTTGAGACCCAAAGCTTTAAGTTTCTCTTCAACAGATAGTAAGAAAGCAAAACAGAACTCTCAAAGCTTTAGCCAAGACTTGTTTGGGTGCACATACAAGGAAATATCACAAAGGTGAAAGTGGAAAAGTAGAAGGGAAAAAGGAGATTGAAATTTTCTTTTCTTGTAGGTTAATTATTTTGAAGGCATGTATATGAATTGAAATTTTGCGCATGAAACTCTTCCAGTGCAGCAAATGATGGCTGGGAACCCTAACTGGTGGAGCATGCATCCACCATCTTCGATGATCTCTCCTCAATATGTGATTCCATCTTCTTCAATTCCTTTTAATTCTTTGACAGAAAATCTAGAGCCTCCTCAGTCATGGAGCCAACTGCTTTTGTAAGTAATCTCTCTCTCTCTCTTATTTGTGTCTATGAGTACTGAATGGTGTCTAGTTCATTACATATATGTACTTCTACTTATGACTAGTTCTATTTGTTATTAATTGTTTCATATAAGTTCGAGAAACTATTTGTTAGATTGGTTTACTGCGGTTGATCAAGGAACTATGATGACAATTATCCAAGGCTTCCTTTTTTAATAACTAAGGTCTTAGAATGAAAACTTGGCTGGGTTTTGTGTTTGTTTTGCAGTACTGGAATAGCCGGGGAAGAAGAGAGACTGGGTTTCAGTCATTTTCAACCTAAGAAATTCGAAAACTGGGATGCCCAGATTCTCAACACACCTTCCAGAGTTCCGATTCTTGATGTAATAAAGCAAGAAGTTTCTCAAAGTGGGAATTTGTACGGCCATGGGCGTGAGGAATTTCAGGCTTCTGGACCAACAGACTCATCTTGGTCTCATATGGTGCCAGTTTCTTCCCCCAGGTCTTGTGTCACTAGCTTGAGTAGTAACAATATGTTGAATTTCACTTATAACAAGGGAGATCATAGGAAAAATCAACTTCCAGATCAAACATCTGAGGTAAGAAAAGAGAGCAAAAGATTCTTATTATTTCCTTTTTCTTTTCATCCGAACTGGCATCTTTTAGTATTATATGTATTCTAACAAGTTAATTATATGCTGAAAGTAATTTTCATCTATCTTTGATATCTGCTCCAGTGTGATAGCACAATTGGAATTTGTAAGAATGCTAGGGTTCATGCATCTTCAAGCCAAGCATCTCTGAAGGTGACTCTCCTTTAATTATTTTGTACTATATCTCTCTCACTTGGTATAAGTGAGCTTGTATATATGTGAGCGTTTTGTTGTGTGTTGTCTTTCTTGGTTGTCTGTCTCTTTGAAACTGCAATATTCTTTCTGCTTGAAAATAATTGTTGGAAGAGAAAAAAGCATGCACAAGGAATACATTTCCTGACTTCCATGTATGAATCTGAATCAGGTGAGGAAGGAGAAGCTAGGAGATAGAATAACAGCACTTCACCAGCTAGTTTCCCCGTTTGGAAAGGTACTAATAAACTAATTAAACTAACTATAAAAGCATTAATTTTTACAAGCCAAGCGCCTTTGTTTTTGGTTTTAAAAGTGACCCTTGAATAGTTGTTTTCCATCCTTCCATGATCCAAGTCCTGCATACCCGGCTCTTTAACTTTTGCCATTGATTGGAATTTAACTTTTAACATCAAAGAAAAGAGAAAGATGAGCTTTCGTTTTGTGATGTGGTTCACTTTTGCAGACTGACACAGCTTCTGTCTTGTTAGAAGCCATTGGATATATAAGGTTCCTGCAGGGTCAAATTGAGGTGATGCTTCTCACACACATTATATACACTCTGCAGGCTACTCAGAGTCAGTGAGAGCATGCAGTTAAAGTTTCACAAATATTAATGTCTCTCTCCAAAAACATTCTTTAGTCATGGGAGTTATAAAATTTTATTCCTTTTTCCCCTACTTGAATGCAGGCACTCAGCTCTCCTTACTTGGACAATGCATCAAAAAACATGAGGAATCAACAGTCTGTAAGAACCCATTTCCCAAAGCCTCTCTCTCTCTCTCTCTCTCTCTCTCTCTCTTACAAACACTTGACGCACTAGTTTGAGCAGGACAAAAATGACCTATTTTTGAATGTACTATAATATATAATTGAGGGAATGTTTCTTCCTTTATTTTTTTATTATTTTATTTTTCAAACCACAGGTACATGGAGAAAGAAATTCTGTTTTTCCAGAGGACCCCGGTCAGGTATGCTTTATTGGATCCATCAATTTATTAGAATCAAATTAGGAGCGTCTGTTTCCAATTATTGAAATATTTAATCCACCAAAAGAAGCCATTGAAACAACAAGATATCTCAGCTTTTTATAACATCCTTTAATTTTGTCATCATAGTATATAATTTATATGATGGCCAATAAAAAGCATATAATTGTGAAAAGCATGAGATGAGGCTGAATTGCATATTTGAAGTCAAAGAATGGCGAGAGAAGTAAAATTACTAATTAATACTTCTCTTTCCCTTTTTTCATTCCCATCTAGCTGTTGAATGACAATAATGGCCTCAAAAAAAGAAAGGGAGCCCCAAACCAGGTATTCTTTCTCTTCTCCCACCACGGTTTTTGTATTTTTCTTGATTTGGCTCCTTGTTCTTTTGATTACTAATCTAAGAAGTATCATTCTAATCACTGATATTATCATCTCCATTAGTTTCATTATAGCGCATAAATATTTAATTAGAACATGTTTATTAATTAACTAATTAATTTGTTAGGCATTGCATGGTTCTTAGTATTAATCAGTTAATTAATTTATGAAAATAATAACTAATCAGGATGCAGAAGAAAAGGCAAAGGACCTAAGGAGTAGGGGGTTGTGCTTGGTCCCCGTGTCTTGTACCCAACATGTTGGAAGCGAAAATGGGGCCGATTACTGGGCACCAGCATACGGCAGTGGATGTTAACATGTAGCAATCTTTTTGGGATAATGCATTTGGATGAATCAATATTTGTGGATGATATCGTATAACATCGTTAGCAGTCATTCTGTAATAACGAAAAGGCTGATTGCTCACGATGCTATATACCCTTCACCATTCACTCAATGCAATTTTAATTATATATATATATATATATATATATATATATCTCTTTGTTCATGTACTCCCTCTAATCTAATTAGGATCACTTGTTCAGTTATTATTAAGATTTCTCAAAACATTAATTAATATGTATGTTTGGTTCTTCTAATTATGCATTTTGCCGAGTTGAAATTCTTCCCTTCTTTAATTTGTTCGGATGTTAGCGGTAATTTTTTATAATCTACCTTCAGCTTTTGTTTTAAGATTGTAATATCCATTTTGAAAATGATATTTTCACACTCCATTTTAATTTTGAGGTGTGAAATAGGTGAAGATGATATAATAAAAAAAATGGATGAAAAAATGAGTGTATATATAAGGGACAGTGAACTTAAAAATAATAATTCGATTAATATTATTCCCATGTAATAAATAAATTATAGCAATTTTCTTCTGGTCTAGGGAGGATGAGGGTAAGATAATTTTGGGATGGCAAGTTTAGGATTATTGCTCCTTTACAATACGCTGTCCCTATAACACTTTCACTGTGCACTTTTCCAATTATACAAAAGAAAAGCATAAACTTAGAGAAACAATTAAAGAAACTTCATATGCACTTTTCGAATGAACTTCTTGGAAGAAGAGTTCATGACTTCAAGAGGGGTAAATAATGAAAGTTAAAGCATATAAAGCTCTATCCATTTATGCTTTTTGTATAACTTTGTGAAGAGAAATTTTATATAACTTTTTATAAAACATAAAAGGAGGGTAACACAAAATAATCGATATGTAACACAAAAAATTGTATGTATGTATGTATGCATAAAGTTATAAATATGCCATAAGAAACTATAACTGTTAGAAATAGAATGTAAATTTTAAAAGTAGAGCTTAAAAATATTAAATTTGTTCAATTTCATCTTAATTAAAAGCGATTGGTATTAAGTAAAGTTTACCTACAAGTATATAAATTTACATGCTCTCTTCACAAATTAAATATTTATCAGACAAAGCAATACGCAATGAAAATTACGAAACAATGGAAATGAGTTCCAGATTCTAATGATATCTTAGATTTCATCTTAAAATTAATTGGCATGAAGTGAAATTATCCAATAAATGAATAAACTGCATCTAAGTAAACGATGCAAGGGAACGATGAATATGAGCTATAAGTTGCCCAGCAGAACTTTCCAACAAAATCTCAAATTTGAAGGACTAGCTGTGCGGGTGACTGATACTTATAACATTGTGTGAACCTAAAAGAAAGTATAAGTCTTTAATAGTTGATTCAACCAAGTAAACGCTGGATGCATGAATATGTTCATGAAGGCCAGGTTATATTCTATAATAAAAAATCATTTTGAAACTTACAAAGTTACGAATGCTTAATAGAAATTATTTGAACTATTAAAAATTAATATTATATATGATATTTTATATATTTTTTTAAAATTTTCTGTATATATGCATGTTTAAAATATACCCCTAAAATTAAAAAAAAGAAACACCTATATGTGTTGCTAAAAAATGTATATTTTTCATTATAAAAAATAATTCTTTAAAGAAATAAATAAATGTGTTAAATATATTTATTTTCTAAAATATGATATCATTTTTTTAATCTCTATTTGAATTTATATATTTTTAATCCTTTACTTTAAATTAAAAATACACTTTAAAAAATAATTAGAGACTAAAAATAAATGAAAAAATAATTTTCAAAAACTTCATATTGCAATTACCAAAAATGTATTTGAGCATAAATAAGTGAAACTAGAGAGTATCATTTCAATCTCCTCTATTGAAGTAAATTTGGTCCAAGACCATGAGAAGAATCAATGGTATACGGTTATCGGTGTGATACAGAAAAGAATAAGATATATAATTTGTAAAGTTTCCGTTATCTTTTGCGATTAATTTTGAAATACTATTTGTAGGATAATCTAGAATCTTGATATTCTTTGTGAAGATTTAATCGCTGTTATTTAAATCTGGAAGAGTTCATCAATTATCCTTGACTCTCCTTCCATCTGGGTTATCTGCTTTCTCTCTATTCGCTGTTAATTTTCTCTTTTGCCTTGTTAAATTTGGAAACTGAAGCCAGATAATGTAAATTAATTTGTACGTGTAAAAAAATGGATCATGAATATGAGAAGGTCACCCGCCACCAGTAACATATATATCTTATTATATCACTGTCATTTAATCTTATTCATTTACTTTTCGGTTTTCATGTAGCTGTCGGAATGTCTCTTTGTTGAGATTTTTTGTTAAGGATATGCATAATTAAGGAACATGCACACACACACATTAACTGTTGTTGTTTTGTACAGAAAAGTTTTCTATGGTCGCGAGGAGAAGTCATTATAGCTATTATGGATTTGTATTTGTTCGTTAGTCATTGTAACTGTAATGAACTAAAATTTAATCGAAAAACAAACAAATTGTTGTCAGAAGGTTATGTCAGACATTCATGTGGATGGAAGTGGCGTGGCTGACCCGAATGTTCCTATATGGACCCCATCTTACTCTCTCGGGTCATCTTAATTTGGACCACTTCTAAGATTACACTCAAGTGCCCCCATTTCCTTTACGCTCCCTCCAAGTTTTAGAGATATACGCTTTCATCATCATGACGCTCAATATTGCATCATATTATTATTACTTTGTTTTTGATAGTGGCAATTGTTGTGAGTTTGGGTTTAATGCTTTATGTTTTCTTAATTAATCACTCTTTGGGCCATCTTTTATCCACTAATTACCAATTTGATCGCGTAAGGACTAATTTGTGAGTGAACACATAGCACGGTTCTTAATATCGGCTTAAACATTTAGATGTTCTCGAAGGACATATTCCAATTGAAGTTATAGTGTGCTACACATACGAAATGAGGAAAAAAAAACAAGTAAAAAGTTCGAATGTGGTTATATTGTCTATTTGGTATATGGGTAATTAAGAAAAAAAAGGTTGGTTGAATGCATATAGTTGGTGGTAAAGGGAATCAATCGCCTAGTGTTTTGACCTTTATAAAAAATACCTAAAAGACCAAAAAGATCATTTATGTTACTGTCTGTGAGTAGTCCTTGGATCACACTCAAAAGGGCACTTTGAATAGTTTTTCAGAATGATTTTTCAGGTTTTTCTTTGGTAAATGATCAATGAAAAATGTTTCCTTAAAATATTTCATAATTGATAATCACTTTCAAGAGCGAGAGAGCGAACCATTTATGTATTTGTTATCCATATTTTATGAGTACACACAAGTGATGTTTGTTTAATTTACATATGTATGGCAAAATCTATCTTTTTTTTGTCAACACAATTATAATCTATCTAGAATATACTTTCTGAAATTTCCTACGTATATACCAAAAAAGCTCAAAAGAGAATCATGGGCCTGATGCATTAGAGCTTAAATCTTGTTGTGTAGTGCTATCTTAGATTCTTTTTACTTGGGCCTTAGGCCTGCTGCATGACAAAGTTCAGAACAAAATGCAGCAAAACATAATAGGGTTTACAAAAATAGTTAACAGGGGTGTTAAAATAGAAAGGGGGAGTGGAAAAAGTAAGCCCCACCATAATATTAGAGAAAGAAGCTCCAACAAGCCTAAGCCTGAAGGCTACACAAGGGCTACTAAGCCCTGCGAAGAAAGAAGCCCAACAACACGGGCAACCAAAAGAAAAGGCAGCAAACAATGTTCTGATAGCTCCTATATATATCCAAGAAAAAAGAAGTAACTTGTCCTTGTTTCCATATTTATTTTCTTAAAAGAAAACAAACATGTCAGTTATTTATAATTTTGATCATTTTTAATAAATTTTAAACATTTTTTAGAAAATTTTAACATTTAATAAATACTTAACCTCAACCATGTACCATAGCAATTTCCCTTTTTCGTAGAAATTCTATTTTGATATAGAAGTGCCTTCACGCTTATGATCTTCGTGAAAAAAGATGCTAAAGGTTATGCGGTAGCTAGTAGATTATCAAAAGGTGGTCTTGGTAAAATTTTTGGTTATCCATAAATCTTTACCATTAACTCAAGTTTAAACTCTTAATATTTCCTTTTTAATAGTTTTTATATTAAATACCGGCTGTAAGGATTAGAAAGTTTAAAAAATTATAAAACCTATTGTAATAAATTATTTTCTATTGCTGTTGTAATATATTTTTCCTTTTATAACAATACTTCTCATATCTCATCTTTTAAACTTATATATTAAGTGCTTAAGTTAAAAAAAAACATTAATTTATATGTTTGAATGTGAGAATTACTTGAATTACCGGAGATAATTATATCAAGTGGATTATACAACCTTTTTTGGTGCATTAATAATTGGAAAATAGCTCCTCAACATGTTATTTTGGTACGTTAAACAGCGAAAGAAGAGAGAAATAAAAAGAATACGATAAATGATATAATTAAAAAATAAGTAGCATAAAAATTGTAATGGATTGGCGTATATGATAAAAAATTGTTGACCCCATTCATAAAGTAGAGAAAATTTATATCTCTGATGAAGCCTTGCTCGTGAATCACGAGCTATTTCTTTATTATTATGTCCAACGCGTTTGATAGTACAATAAATTAAAATATTTTATTTTACACATATATACAAAATAAATAAAAATAAAAGAATATAAGAGTTTAAGGTTTGATAAACAGTTGGTATTAACAGTTTGATAGTAAAATATTTTTTTTATTATTGTAGTCATTAATTATTAGTAAAAAGTAAAATATTAATAATCCACCTTTAAGTAAGAAGTAGAATTTAAAATAAAATTATATAAAACTTAAAAAATATTTTTATACATTAATTTTTTTAATATTTCTCTGTTGTCTAATAAAGTAATATCTTTGTAAGTATCTTTGTAAGTATCAAATATTTCTGATAATAAAGTTAGGTATTAGTTTAAATAATAAATATTATTTAAATATTTTTAAAAAAATTATTGAGATTATTTATTTTAATTAATTTAATTGAAAAAATATAAATGTCAAAAAAGTATTTAAAATTTTTTTTTATCATTAAAATCAAATAATGTACTATTCAGTATTGAAGTCATATTTGACCGATGTAAGTTGACTAATCATAGGAGAAAATGAAACCTCAATCAATATTGGGAACAGACAAAACATCCTTGTCACAGTGAAAAATAAACTAACAGAGTCAACATCCAAGAAATTCATTACTCGAAGTAAAATCTTTTGTCTTTTGAAAAGATTTTCCACTGACTAAACATTTTGGTTTAAGATTCATCATAATATTTCATGATTAGGATTTTATTTTGAGTTTAATTATAAATAAAATTCATCTCGATTTTTTATCGTGCTATTAAAATAATCAATGTGTCACAATCATAGAAATGACAGTGTGTGATGAGTCACTTCGTTCAAACTGTAAGAGAAGTTCCAGCAAGCAAATAAATAAATAATAAATAAATTTAGTGGGCCAAAATTATAGACTATAAATATATTTATTGTTAATAAATATTAAAATTTTGATACATAATTATATAATATAAGTGACTAAGACCATATAGTATAGTACTATCCACTAATTTTTTGCAGCAAGCGTGATGTGAAGTCTGAAAACGTGTGTGTCAACATTTTACGCATGTGAACCCAACACAACGCGTAGTTTGAAATTTTAGTTCAAATTCTATATGTTCTTGTAGTTTATTTTATTTTATTTTATGAAGTAAGTAAATAGAAAATGTATTTATTATAATAAAAATATAAAAAGTATCAAATCGGTTTTTATTTATTAACAAGGAAGATTTATAGACATAAATGTAAGAAGATTTAAAATTATTTAATTGTGATACATGAATTATTTTTAACAAGTATTTTTTATATTTATTTTAAATAAAATTGATTGTTGTTTTTAAAAAATAAAGATTTAACATTATTGTAAGTTATTGAAGTATAATCTTAATTTTTATTAAAAATTAAAAAACAATATAATGTGACTAAAATTTGTCCTTTAAAATTTAAGTTGTTTTGGAAGAATTTTTTTTTATGATTAAGTTGTTGTAAATTAATTCCTTAACATGTTATCTCTTCTTTTTCTTATATTATTCAGTTTTTTTTTTTTTTTTGCCACAGCTCTCTCTCTCTCGGCTTCTACTGCTATCATTATATCAATATCTCAAGTTATTATTATGACAAACTATTTGTTTTATTATCATCACTTAAACACTATCAACAAAACATTCTTTTACTATCATTATACAGACACCATAAACCATTATAGTTGATGTTTTAAGCCTCTAATGATCACCACAATTTGAACTGCGAACTACGAACCACTAACTACTCACGTAGTAAAGAAGAACATCTTTCATAACAATCAACACATTGTCATGACGATTATGTATCGAAGTCCTAGACCAACCTAAAACATTGGACTAGAAGAGATCTAGCCCATAGAGTCAATCTCATATACGAAACTTGTTTCATAATTTAAAACGTTCACATAAGAATTTGACCACTCTTTTGACATTGATGGTCGTAACAATTACTACACAGTTATTGGCCTCACTAATATTTTTGAAAAGCACATCAAATTCACTACATTATTAACTTACAAAAATATTTTACATGAAGTTAAATATCAGCATTGATTTTGAACGTGTGAAGAGATAAAACATTAATTTTAATTGGATAAAACCTAATCTAATCAATCAAATTTAATACAAACAACTTTTCTTTTGTATTTGATATATTACTTAAATAACATTAGATATGTATTTGATATTTTTAGCTATTTAAAAAAATTATTTTTTATAATTAATATAATAAATATTGTTTGTGAAATTATATTTTTATTTCTTTAATTAACTTATGCACTTATTATATAAGATAAAAAAATTAACACATAGAAAATACCTCACTTTAACTTTGTTATAAATAACGCTTTCATGGGTACAAGCAATTTTTTTTAAAGACGTTTGGTATTGAAACTACAATAAAATTAAATTATTAATATAAAATTAAAGATTTATATTAATAATTTGATCTATTAATTTAATATACTCTATTATTAACATAGATTCATTGTATTTAAATTAATAAGGCAATTTTTACTAAGCAAAGATATATTAATAGAAACAAATTCAACTCCAAAATTCGGAAGGTTGACGAAAGGCTTTATAGTATCCACGCGTATAGGACAATCTAATTTTGTATATCAATGAACTTGAACTTGTTTGTGCCTCTAACTCTAACAGTGATTAACCATTTAACATCATTGAATAAGGTTAATTAAATGGTTGAAAGTTTCTTGGTATTTTAAATTTGTTAAAATGTTAGGTGTCCATATTTTTAATTGATGTGAGACCAGTTAAATTTGTAAATAGATTTTAAAATTAGTTTAAAGCGATATGGAGTTTGCTTTTCAAAGAGAACTATGAATCTTAGAATTTATTAATATTATAAAAAATTCCATTTTTATTTAATTGTGAAATATGAATAAAAATTATTTTGATTTTAAAATTGTATTTAAAATAATTAATAATATAAAAACTTATAAAGTAAAATTATATTAAAATTAAATTCTATACTTCAAACATTATATAAAAATTTGTTTTATGATTCTTAAGATTTTAAATGTAAACCCAGTTTAAGAAAGAGGCCGATTGATTGGATCATAAATTTGCGTATAGCTTATTTGTGGAAATTTTTTCAGCTATTTAAACTTAAGACCCTCCATCTTTTTATGATTTTTTTTAAAATTCTATCATATGTAATTACTCTTGTAAGTTAAAAAAATTATCAATATAAAGTTATTGTAAATCAAAATTTACATCTTGATTTAAGTTATTTCTCTCAACCAAAGTATTTACTTTTATTTTTAATGTTTTATGACTTAACTAGTCATGAGTTAATGTTACATTCACTTTCATAGTTAAAAAATACTTAATAAATCAATTTTTCTAATAATTTATCATAGGTGTTGAAATTTTGAAAATAAAAATTGATAATCATGTAATCCAATAAATTATTAAACTTAATACTTATTTCAATTAAAAAAATCAAAAGAGTTTAATTTTTTTATATAGATGATAAAAGTTAATTATCAAGTAATTAGAGTTAGCTTAATTTAATGAATTTAATGTTTAATTAAACGTTACGATTTGAGTTAAAAATAAATTTAATTGTTTAAAATAAGAGTTATAATAATTTTACCTTAACTCTCTTTAAATTTTGAACTTTACTATTATATATATATATATATATATATATATATTTACTTTGCGCTTGTTATAATAACTATGTGGATCGATCATTATTATAATGTATTATAATGTTAAGTAGTAACTTTATAAATTAATAATTCAATTCATTATTATAAAAATAACACTTGCACTTTCACTTTATTATTTAATAGAACTCAGGTGCACCTATACATTTTTCCTATCAATTATGCATTCACAATTTGTTCAATGCGTTAGTGATGTGCCGCGGTGAGTGTGAAACGAAGAAGAAAGATTTGAATATTTAGTAGACCATAATTATAGGCGTGACGGTGTCTAATTTACCCATTAATCATAATTAATCACTTTGGCCAGTAATGCATTGCAATAATCCAACTTATTTAATCACAATAGTACGTGCAGAGATAACTTGTATTCCAGTTTTTAAATTCATCAAACTCAACTTGCATTCGTTGAAAATTTTATGGACTTCATCTTGAAAAAATATGAACTCTTTTTTACTTAAAAGGGGTGACTTATATATTTTAATATTTGTACCCTCTTCAACGGACAGTTAAAACTTATACGCTAAGAATTTATGTGTAATACATTTTTATTTATTATAATATATCTTTAAGCATTTATAAAAAGAAACGGTTAATTAAATTTTGAAATAAAATCGTAGATTCAAAATTTATGTATAAGTTGTATGATACGAATATTCTTTGAGTAAAAAATACGTATCATTGAGTAAACAAAAGAATATTCTATTCAATTCAGACAATAAATTTTTTTTTCCACTTATGGATAAAAAAGAAAAATATCGAATTCACGCATCTAATAATTAGAAATGGTGATTAGTATATGATAAGAAGCAACTTTGACTCAAGTGAGAACGCATAAAGTTGGTATTGTGGTAGCACTGAATTTGGCGATTCATCCGTAACATTGGTGCATTCCAGATATGCAGTTTTAGCAAACACCGTGTGAACACGCAAACTCATTATTGATGGTCCAATCCATCGCATGCTTTACAATTACATCACTTAGAGTCGTGTTCCATACAGAGAGAACTATTATAAACAAAATTAATGTAATATAATTTTTATTTTAACTATAAAAATATAAAAATTATTTAAAATTGATAATGTGCATAAAGCGGCTGCACTAGGCATGAGCCAGAAAGGACGAAAGTGATGAGTCCATATAAATGCATGAACTTTGTAGTTAACAGTTGGTCTCTGTGAGTGTGTGTTAATGAAAATGGTGAAGGAAGTGGAGGTTGCTTCCGTTGAAGTTGAAATGGGTACCCAACACATTTCACAACCACAGAGGCGCAAGGGTGGTCTTATTACCATGCCTTTCATCATTGGTTGGTATACCAATACTATGCTTAATACTTTCTTATCAAAACTTGGATTAGATTTTGTTTCCTTCTTTTAACTCACTAATTTCTGTGTTGGTTTGGATATGTGTTGTTAGCAAATGAGGCACTTGCAAGGGTGGCTAGTTTGGGCCTTCTTCCCAACATGATAGTGTATTTGATGGGGAGCTACAAGCTTCATCTAAGCAACGCAACCCAGATACTTTTATTGTCCTCTGCTGCAAGCAATTTCATGCCTGTGGTGGGTGCTTTCATTGCCGATTCTTATCTGGGTCGATTCCTCGCTGTTGGGTTAGGTTCTACCATAAGCTTCCTGGTATTCTTCTTTTCTTTTTGTGTTTTTTTACTTAAATATGCTTGTGTTCAATTTTGGAGTTTTACTCTTGCTTGAAAGTGATAGACACAAGTATGTGACTTTTTTAGGAAACATGATTTATTTTTCTGGGGTGTGAAAGAGAAGAAAAAGCCGGTCTCTTTTTCGATGGCAAATTATGGGATTGCTAAATCCTCTGATTCTGTTCAAGTCTCTTCCAACAAAGTCCTTTTTTGTTATTCGCAGTTGGATGATGACATATTCCCATTTATGAGAAAGAATAAATTCTACGAAGTTCTGTCAAAATTTAATGTTTTGTAAATGTTAAATAGGTACAAGGGAAAATATTTTTATGCAAACTGTCCGATGACTGCATTTCACATCAATTTTTAAACTACCATTATGGAATTTGCCAATCTTCTCAAAACTCTAGTGGTAGATTCCATGTTCTTTAAATAGTGCTGTAATCATAAAAGTCCTTAAAGTTTTTATTTTTATCTTTTGTTTGGTAACAGGGAATGACAGTGCTATGGTTAACAGCCATGATCCCACAGGCACGGCCTCCTAGTTGCAGCCAACGATCTGAAAGTTGTAAATCTGCAACATCAGGGCAAATGGCAATCTTTATCTCTGCCCTTGCTCTCATGGCCATTGGAAATGGAGGCCTTTCATGCTCCTTAGCATTTGGTGCAGACCAGGTGAATAGAAAAGATAACCTCAATAACTCCAGGATCTTGGAAATGTTCTTCAGCTGGTATTATGCTTTTGCTGCTATTTCTGTCATAATTGCTCTCACAGTAATAGTATACATCCAAGATCATCTTGGATGGAAAGTGGGTTTTGGAGTTCCAGCAGCACTTATGTTCTTATCCACTGTCTTCTTCCTCCTTGCTTCTCCACTTTATATAAAGAATAAAGTACAAACCAGCTTGATCACTGGTTTTGCACGAGTGATTGTTGTGTCCTTTAAGAACAGAAAACTTCCCTTACCACCTAAGAGCTCGCCTGAACTTTACCATCACAAGAAGGACTCGGATCTTCTCCTTCCAACTGATAAACTAAGGTAGAATCAAATTACCACCCTTTTATCTTTTGAATATCTTGTGGATAAACCAACCACTTAACTTGAGCTTGTGCTTTACGTCCCAGGTTTCTGAATAAAGCTTGTGTTATTAAAGATCCAGAAAACGATATAGCCTCTGATGGTTCAGCATCGAATCCGTGGAGTCTATGCACAGTAGATCAAGTGGAAGAACTAAAAGCCCTTATTAGAGTTATTCCCTTGTGGTCTACAGGGATCATGATGTCACTTAACATTGGAGGCTCATTTTCATTGCTGCAAGCTAAATCTCTGAACAGACATATCACCTCACACTTTCAAGTTCCACCTGGCTCTTTCACTGTAATCATGATAGTTACAATATTTTTATGGATAGCACTCTATGACCGTGCCATTCTTCCTCTTGCATCAAAGATAAGAGGCAAACAAGTTAGGATCAGTGCAAAGAGAAGAATGGGACTTGGGTTGGTCTTCTCTTTTCTTCACTTGGTAACTGCAGGAATTGTTGAGACTACTAGGAGAAGGAGAGCAATCAAAGAGGGATATCTTAATAATGCTAATGCAGTGTTGAACATGTCTGCAATGTGGCTTGCCCCACAACTTTGCTTGGGTGGAATAGCTGAAGCATTCAATGCAATAGGCCAAAATGAATTTTATTATACTGAGTTTCCTAGATCTATGTCCAGCGTTGCTTCTGCCCTTGGTGGACTGGGAATGGCTGCAGGAAACTTGGTATCTAGTTTTGTATTCAGCGTTATAGAAAACGTTACTTCAAAAGGGGGAAAAGAAGGTTGGGTTTTGGATAATATTAACAAGGGTCGTTATGACAAGTACTATTGGGTTATTGCGGGAATCAGTGCTCTTAATATAATGTATTATATACTATGCAGTTGGGCTTATGGACCTACCGCTGATCAAGTACGTAAGTTAACTCAAGAACATAGCTCGAGAGTAGAAGCATCAAGTGAATTTGAGGAGGATAAAGTTGACATGGCATCCAAAGAAATTGATTTAAAGGAAAAAGAGTTAACTGAGTTGAGAAATGGGTGTCAGGTTGAAAAAGAATCCAACGTTAGTGAAGAAAATGACTCACATAAGAAAGAGTTAACTACTTATTAGTAGAGTCAGGATGAATGTGAGGAGGAAGAATACGTGGAGATAATAGACGTTGAAGTTGCAAAATTTGTCTTGAATTACTCCACCACCCATATTGATGATCGAGCAAACCCTTGCTACCCTAAGATTCAGGGTCAAATTTGCATAACCATGTTCCTGTTTCCACGTTTTGACCAGTAGTCGCAGATACATGAAAGCAATAAATGCATCGATAAATAGTCATTTGTTTATGTATAATCCATTTGTGTATGAAGATGCAGATTTGCTGCATATTATATATAGTTGTAATGATAGTAGAAATGTTATAGACCTTAAATTTGTTCTTGAGAATCCACTCAACGGTTTTAGTTTTATTGAAAGAGAGAGATTATTTTAAGCCACGGAGGAGTAATCATTTTTTCGTTTCTAAGCAGAAATTTTCATAGGGTCATTTTAAACTCTACAATCTATTTAAAATATAAAATGATTGTGGGAGCTGATTTCTCTTTTGGGCTATTGGAACTTGGAACTAATATTAAAATTGAATGAATAATGAAATCCAATTAGAAGATTTTCTTTTTTGGGATAATGCTTGCTTTATTTCACCACCTTTCGCGTCCAAAAACATAGTTAATTAAAAAGTTATTGGTGTTTTTAAATTTAAATAAAATGTATACGTAATAAAAGAAAATATTTTTCAATAAAAATTATTATTATTTTTAGATAATTATTTGTGACTATTTTTAATGTCTTACTCATTACACTTTGATTGGGAATGATGGACAACAACCCACGTGATACCTCAAAGAATCAAAGCTGTTCCTGCCTCTCTCTCTTTAAAAAAAAAAGAAAAAGAGAAAATAGTAACATGTTGTAATTATTTGATACCATATGATAAAAAATATTCCAAATAAAAATGAAGAAATTAATTAGCCAATTTAGAGACAAATACATTAATTGTCATCTGAAATAATAAAGCTCACCAATAAAAAATATGTAAATGTCTTCTACGTGTTCATTATTCAACAGCAACTCCGGTGCTTTTGTCCGCTTTTCCAATGACTCACAAACAACATTATGATTCTAATTTGCTTTTAGTACAAAGGAAATTGATATAATATCAAAAAAATTTCATAATACGCAATGCTTTTGACACTACTTAAAGTTAAGAAAATTACGTGAGTATAAGGATCAAGTTGAAAAAATAATAACTGATAACCTTTTAAATTCTTTAAAGTTAGAAATAAATTATAAGAATATATTTAGGTAAATAATTTAATCAAATATTATCCAACAAATTATTATCACATGAGAATTTATAGTACAAGTTTCTCATAAGTTTTTGAAAATAATTTATAAATAAATGAATAACAAGGACCGAGAAGTGTCCATAAGCAATAAAATGGCGCATGATTAGGGTAAACGAAAGAAAAAAATAATGAATGAATGAATGATAGTTCTATGAAACTATTGGTTAATCTTACTTAACTGGCGCAGCACTCGCATGTACATCCATTTTGTGATACCCGCCATTTAAGATAATAGCATCTTTAAAATTTTAAAATAATTTCCATGCATTAGTGATTTTTCTTTCACAAATTATTGGTCAAGAGTCCACTCGATCTTGCAATATATATTCACACAGTTCCAGTCTCGGTTGCCGCAGCACTCTTTCATGAAGATTTAGTAGTTCCACTGCTGCATTTTGTGCTATTCCCTTCTTGTTTGGCTTTCTTTCTACCCAAACATGGAGAAGGAAATGGAAGCTGCTTCAGTTCATGGGGAAATGATCACTCATCAAAGGCGCAAGGGTGGCTTCATTACCATGCCTTTCATTATAGGTACTTTGTGCTCAACAAACACAAGAAAAATAAAATATATGGGTTTGGCTTATTCCATAGTTTTTACTTCAAACACTAAAATTTGTACGTAGTTTGATTTGGGTGTCTAAAAATGAATATTGCAGCAAATGAGGCACTGGCTAAGGTGGCTAGCGTTGGGCTTTATCCAAACATGATATTGTATTTGATTGGAGATTACAGGCTACGAATATTGAAAGCAACCAAAATTATGTTCTTATGGTTTGCCGTTACCAATTTCAGTCCTGTGGTTGGTGCTTTCGTGGCTGATTCTTATTTGGGTCGCTTCGTTGCCATTGGTTTAGGTTCTTTTCTCAGTTTCCTGGTACCTTCCTTTGTTCTTTCTAATTAACTGCTTAATTATATCTTAATCCTTGTTTTCTTATTCTTTTTTAAATTCTCGATCAGCTTAAACACATCGATTGGTTACACCTTTGGATCTTGATTGTACTAATAATCACGTGACTTGATGCACACCCAAGAACGAAGGATGCTTTAAAATAGTTGTCTTGTGATAGTATTGTAACAACACTTAAAATTATTTTAAGAGTTTTGTTAATTTTAACTCCTAGAGATTTGAGTCCTAATTCTTAGGACCGAAGATAAACAATTAATAATAATAAAATTTTATTAAAAAAATATTTATTATATTTTTATAATTTTAATACAATAATTATATTTTTTTTCATAAAATTTTTTTATTTTATAAATGTTTAAACTGAGCTGAAGTTAACAAAATATTTATTTTAATTAGAATAAGTTATATTTTACTTTCATTATTTTATACATTTTAAAAATATTTTATATTTTATTTTTATAATTTTCTTTTATATTACTATTTTTTTAATATTATGTATATATGATTAAAATCGTGGCTAAAAGTTTAAAATTATAGTTAAATTCAAAAGTAGTGTTTCATTTTAAAGTGCAACTTCAAAAAAAAGAGTAAGAGTAATTGAGGTTATAACTTGTTAACAACGAATCTAGATAAGCAAAATTAAAGTGTTAATTAATAAGACTGGTAATTAAGATGAATTACTATTAAATGAGTTGAATTGGGTTATCTTACAAAAATAACGAACTCATAAAATTATTGACCTGTATTTGACTCATTTTACCTTGCGAGTTAGTGGTCTTGTCCATAGAATTAATAAAGCATATCAAAATATCTAAAAACTAATATATTTATATATAAATATGAAATAAATAAAACTCATATTTAAATGGAGTCCAACTAATTTAACCTACAAGTTAAATGAACTAAGCTAAAAAAAAAAGAAGTTATGTTTAAGATCGCTGAGTTTATATTTTTCTTGATCTTAACCTATTTAATCTGTGAGTTAAACAAGGAGGCCCTAGACTTGGACTCTTGGACTCAATACTCAGTTACATTAACCGATTAATTATTACTAAAAAAATCCATTTTTAATACATTCAATTAAAATTTAATTTAAAGTTTTATTTTGATAAAATTCACATGAAAAATAATGTCTTTTAAATTTTTATTATCTTTATTTTCTTCTTCCATAAAAAAATAAGATTTTTGTTATTTACACATGACAAAGTTTATACTAAATGAATCCTTATAAATTAACTTCATAAAGAATAAAATGTATTGATATAATACACGAATATGATTAAGGATACAAATAGGTTTACATGTTAAACAAATATTGAACATTCTCTAACTTAGAATTAATGCCTTATGATATCACTCAGTTCATATATATAACATGTTTAGAAAAACATATTATAAAGTGCCCCTTAATTTTATTTTTCTACATTTAGAATTTAAGACTTTATTATACTCAATATCCCTTAATGTGGGCTCATGATAATTTGGGTTTCTTAGTTGAATCTGTTTATCTAATTTTTCAAAGAATATTGGGTTATCCCAAAATTACGTGCTCAAAAGCAATAAAGAAAACGATCCTTTTAACGAGGGTTTAAATCCAGTTTATTCAATCTGAGGGGAATAATATATTGAGTTACAGGGGATGGGACTGATGTGGTCAACAACAATGAGCCCACAGGCAAGGCCTCCACCTTGCAGAACTGAAAAGTGCAGATCTGCAACAACACCCCAAATGGCTATTCTACTCTCATCCTTTGCTCTCATATCCATTGGAGGAGGTGGCATCTCCTGCTCCTTAGCATTTGGTGCAGATCAACTTAACCAAAAAAACACTAATCAGAGGGTCTTGGAGAGCTTCATAAGTTGGTATATAGTTTCTCAAACTATTGCTGTCATTTTTTCCTTGACCGGAATAGTTTACATCCAAGACCATTTTGGTTGGAAAGTGGGTTTTGGAGTTCCAGCAGCACTCATGTTCTTCTCCACTTTCTTGTTCTTCCTTATTTCTCCACGTTATGTGAAGCAGAAACCACACAACAGCTTGCTCACTGGCTTTGCCCAAGTAATTGTTGCTGCCTATAAGAATAGAAAACTTTCTTTCCCTCCTAAAGACACCACTGGAATGTATCACCATAAGAAGGACTCAACCCTTGTTGCACCAACTGATAAACTAAGGTTGAAAATTGAAAGTAAAAATAATCATTTCCCTAATGATCATGAGTTCGATGAAATATATTTGACTTCATGTGATCATAATCTTTTGTGTTTAGGTTTCTGAATAAAGCTTGCATCATCAAAGACAAAGAACAGGATATAGCCTCTGATGGGTCAGCCTCAAATAAATGGAGTCTTTGCACAATAGAGCAAGTAGAAGAACTAAAGGCTATCATTAAAGTTATTCCTCTTTGGTCCACCAGTATCATGGTGTCAGTTAGCACCAGCCAAACCTCATTTTGGCTGCTCCAAGCCAAAACCATGGACAGACATGTCACTTCAAACATCCAAATTCCAGCAGGTTCTTTTGGTGTATTCATAATGGTGGCAGTGTGTGTAACTGCTGGTGTCTACGATCGTGTCATTCTTCCTCTAGCTTCAAAAGTTAGAGGAAAACCAGTTAATGTTAGTGCCAAAAAAAGAATAGGAATTGGACTGTTTTTCTCCTTTCTGGACTTTGTAGTTTCGGCAATTGTTGAGAGTATAAGGAGAAAGAAAGCCATTAGGGAGGGATATGTCGATAATCCTCAAGCAGTGTTGGACATGTCTGCAATGTGGCTTATTCCACATAATATTTTGTGTGGTATGGGAGAAGCATTTAATGCAATAGGCCAATCAGAGTTCTATTACTCTGAGTTTCCAAGCAGCATGTCAAGCATTGCAGCATCCCTATTCAGCTTAGGATCTGCTGTAGGAAACTTGGTAGCTTCTCTTATAGTCAGCATTGTGGATAGCATTACTTCTAAAGGGGGAAAAGAGAGTTGGGTTTCAGATAATATTAACAAGGGTCACTATGACAAGTATTATTGGCTTCTTGCCATAATGAGTGGTGTTAATATACTCTACTATTTGGTTTGCAGTTGGGCTTATGGACCTAGTGCCCAAGCAACCTTAGAGAAGGAGGAAAGATTAGCTGAAAGAGGGAATAGGATTCATCATGATCAACAAGAAGAGGCAATGCAAGGTTCTAATGTGGGACACATGCTTAATCCTCAATAACTTGTTCACTTAATATTAATCCTCAATAACTGTTAAATAAAACCGTTTACTACCAAAATAAGAGACAGACTCAAATTGTATGGCAGCTTTATTTTTTACTTTTTTTAAGGTCCTGCCTGTTGTACTTGCAGTATAGTTGCATCCATTAATAAAATACTAAGTTTTTTAAGGAAGGATAGCAAAATATAATAGCATGCATGTCATAATTTATTATCCATGGGTAATTGGCGAAAACAAACTAACAAAAAGGAATTCGTTCCGAGGATCCCATTGCAAAGAGTAGGGTACTAAATGCAATTATTTTTACTTCTTACTTATTATTTATTTTTATTTACGTGTTTCTTAAAAATACACTAAAAAGAAGGGCAACCAAAACATTTGAGTTTTTAAACATTTTTTCACCAAATTGAGCTCTTTTACGATAAAGTCCTTAGTGGTATTTTTTTAAAAATTATTGTTTAAACAAATCAAGGATTCAATCATTAATTTAACTATTCAGTGAGCTCTTAAACTATTTAAGTTTTTTAATTCAGCTCAAATACTTATTGGAATCTTAATGAAATTCTCAAATATTTCATGAGATTAATATAACCGAGAAAGAATAGTCGTGTTTTTGAAGGAAAGTCCAGTAACCGGTCTTTACTCTTAAGTTATACCGACAATTGCGAAATTGCCAATTTAGCTTTATTTTCTTATGATTCAGTTACAAGCACCAGACATCAAAACTAAACAGACACCAATAAAAAAACTGTGTTCACTTGGTCATGACTTGGCTTGAAGGAGGATTCTTCAATGTTTGATCACTTTGCTGTCCTGCGTGCTGTTGTGCAAGAATGCCATTCCATCCTGCAGACAGATAATAGATGGAATAAATTTTGTATCCAAATTCGTTGCTATAGTTGTCAACTTTATACGAAAAGAATGAAAACAACAAATAAATATGAGGAGGAAGCCAATTACCAAGAGCAGGGTCAAGTCCTCTAATTTTAAGCTCCCTGAATTCTTGACAGAGGGAACAACATGGACAAAAGATGTGAGAGATTACATCTGTATATGGAGCTTCCACCAAATCATACCTCTTTCTTAACTTTGTTCTGTACTTTGATCCCATAATCCATTGAGAGCACAAAGCAGGCATCATTAGTAGGTAAATGAAGCTCCCCAGATGACAACCTTAAATTATTAGAATTAACAATTAGAGTATGTTTGAAATGATATTGTTATAAGAAAGGAGAAGGTGGTGAATCCATTACTCATTTCTCCACCATCCAAGACTTCTGCAATCTGTCCAAATGTTACACACGGAAAAAATGCTGTCATAATAGCTGCCAAACAAAAAGAAAAAGGTATATATAATCAAATACGCAAGTGTTTATTATATGTTCTATCAGTGAACCAAAAATGTGAATGGATAGACACAAGATTTTTTTTTTCCAGTCTAAACAATTAAAACAGTTAACAATTCATAAAAAAGGTGTAGTGGAGCTCAAGACAATGAACTCAAAACATAATTTCTGAGATTATTCCATGGAATCACAGTTCCTGTGTTCAAAACTTCATATATTTCAACTATTGTGCTAATTATAAATTTATAATCTGTCATATTCCATTGCATCAAGCCTAAAATTTGCTCGATTAACCATGAACTCTACTCCATTCTTGACATAGAAATCACTGATGGAATGGAAATGTTATAAATGTCATCAAGGTTATTTTTAGCAGAAGTTGAAGCAGATAATTTCGCTATATAACTAGTTTGAAGGAAATAGAGTAGATATTACCATTTGTCTGATTCTCATGGCAGTCAAATAGTCCAGTACTCCATGGATTCCCTATTTGTTGAATAGTATCTGCTTCATGTCTTGGAGTAATTGGGCCAACGGGTTCATTCTGTTTAATCTTCCGATCCTCAGTGGCCTCCATCTTACCGTTTTCTCGAGTTCTGATAAACAGGGCAGCAATGAAAGAAGCTTAGAACTAACAGATACCTGAGTCAGCTTATGCTTTCAAATAATGTACTTATAAACGAAAGTTCAGCTTTTGCTTAATGCTTACATAATTCAATGGAATTGGAAGGCTAGTGGGTATTGGACAATTCAATTTTTATAAGTCAATGACAAGAAGTTTCGCATATTCTTCATCCTATTGATAAGAATATATTAAAAAATTAAAAAAGAAATTTAAAAGGAGAAAAATAGAAAATGCAAGTTTAGTTTTAATTCAAGCGGTCTTAGCCTGTATAGCTGCGTGATGCTGGACAACTGGAGTTGAAATCATGGACTTTCAAATTCATGGACGATTGAATGTAAACCACGGCTTGGAGCTTATAGCCGGAATGGTTGACACCAGAGTATATGATACGTGCATTGATTTTCATATGAATATTTATACGTTCACGTTCACTTATTTTGGATGTAATGTAACTAGAGAGAAGAAAGACAGGAAAAAAAAGAAAGAAGGTATGAAATATGATTAGTAATGTGATCAAAAAAGGAAAAGAAAAAAAAAAGTCAAATAACGACACATCAATTAATTTTATAGACATCAAAGTCAAGTCAAATAACACCACTTCAAATCGAAGTATTCTCAGTAACAAAATACAAGAAATTATGCTGTGTACGATCCAAATATGGTCACAATAATGTACAAGTTGACTGATTTTTCTCAATCTTCGATGCCACAACTAAAAGTTGCCCATAAGGTTAAAGCCATTACATGTGGGATTCAATGCTAGCATTAGCCTCCCATCTGCCTCGGAAGGAAGTTTTAGTTCCCTACAAAAGAGTATATGGAGTTCAAGTATGGTTTCCTTCTCTGTTTATGGTCAACGGATCACCTCTAACAACGTTCAAGTATGTGAATTTCTTCTGCCTACATTTGTTGCAAGTCCTTATTCCAGCGGACATCAGTCTTTCCATCTTTTAACTGTTTACATTTTAGTTACGTTTACACAGAAAGACCTATGTGTATATATATATATATATGAAGAAACTCCTCAACAAATAAACGATTTCTCATGTAAAAAACAGAACATATATTTTTTTTATATGGAGATGAAAATTCAAAATTGGCAGATAAAAAACGTGGTTTGGATTTTAATTTAACACCCCCCCCCCCCCAAAAATCCACATTGAATCCTTTGCTGAAGAAATCCTCAGGCTTCCATCGGTAACGACATAAATTTACATGCTGCAGATCAATACACTACGAAAACATTTTTCTTTTTGAAAAATAATACGAATATTTTATGGTAATTAGCCTTCAATTTGGAAGCAGTTCATTCAAAAATACTATTTGACCAGGGCACCGGGCCTAACTATGCAAAGGCATTATATTAATTGTTATTTTTTAATAGATAAAACGCACAAATTAATTAGTATGACAAAGTGGGGCAAAAAATGAAATGTCCAACATGGTCACAAATTCAAAGGAATATATATTTTCTAGCACTCGAAAAAACACTCGTTTTAGCTAGTGCTCCTCTTTTGTTTATTTGGAACGTTATACACACTCCGGGGGGAATTGTCAACAATCTCAGTAAGAAGATTCTTTGGATCTTGCGAAGTTTGAATACGGTATAAAAAGGACGACTATACAACATTCCCTTAACAAGGATTGACTATCAGCATCCGTTGCCCAGGCAGCACAATATAAAATTTCCAATGAGGACCTGATGGAATCGTTCTCCTGAAGCCAAAGGATCTAATCTTCAATACACTATTACTGTGTCAATTGATATCACACGCAGCTCAGAGACACGGTCATGACCATCTCAAACAGTTGCTAGACAATACCCTCTCCAATTCCCAGCCCCTTCTTCGACCAAATTAGGTGTTACCCATTGATGAACTCATTATCTGGATCTGTAAAAAGATGTAGCAAGGATCGAAACCAAAAAAAAATATGGATAAATGAAAAGGTTGAGCATTTTGAGAAGAAGGAAGAAAAAGATAACTAGGGCATCTAAGGAACAAAAGTTCCCGCTTTAAATACCTTGTTAACGAGTAAGTTCACTTGTTCTCTGTACATTTCCTTCAAGTCTACAATATCCGCACGAAGTTCCTCCAGCTAAATACAATGAACGATTTTAGATAAAAGGAGATGACTTTTCTATTTAAGAAAAAAAAAGGAACCAGGACAATTATGATATATTACAGTCTGGCCCTAGTATAACTACAGTACTAAAAATTATTTTCTTTTCTTTTTCTGTTGCCCCTTTATGTATGTTCCTAGCGTGTCTAGTGTTTTCCTTTCATTTGAATTCTCAGATTTTCTGGAAGAGAGGAATTCATTTGTGTCAGGCTACTGTTTGGATACGAAGTATTAAAAAAAACACAATAAAATTTAAAAGGCAAATAAAAGAGTTATTCTAGAAGTTTATAGGATTGTATTGATTTTCCTTGCAGGGAATACGCAGACCACTAGGCCAGGAATCCAAACACCAAATTATATATTAAGATATTATTCCTAGAAAGAAAGCAAAGAATTACCTCTTCATCACGTTCACCCATCAATTCCAAAGCAGCAGAGTGCCTCCTCCTTAGTGCTTCTAGCTCTGATCTTAAGCCAGGTAATACAACAGCCTCCCCACGCAACTTTTCACACTGCAGTGTGGATATGCAAGTCATGTTTAATGACAAAGAATGAGACCAGAAGTAGTACACGAGAAGCCAAATTCACCTGTGCTGTCATTTTGACCAACTCCTCAGCAAGAGAATCTCGAATAGATTCCAATGATGCCTGGAATTTTTGTTATTAAAAGAAGGTCATTACTGTAATCCCAAGAAAAAAGTCATCCAAATCAAGTTTGATATAAATAATTACTTTATGTTATAAATTTTATATCCTATTACTTAAACATTATTATAAGTTCTCAATAACAAGGAAAAATTGAGCTATGAACAAGGTATGGTGCCAATTGCAATATATTAACAGGACATTAAGTCAACAAATCATACCAAGCGTGACATGTATGAAGCAAGTTCACCCTCCTTCTGACGAAGTGCAGCTTCAAAAGAACTAGGCGTCATACTCTTTATATAGTAAGGACTCATGTTTAGTTCTCCATGGTTTCTCCTATCAGAAATACTGTCAGATGAGTCCAATGATGCTTGCAGAAAGTGGCTTTCCTCCAAGCTTCCCAGGGAACTTGCACTAGAGACTTTCCGAGACAGGTTTCCTACATCCCAAAGAATATTATATAATATATCAGAGACAGACAACTGAGCTCAGTGATGTAAAGAGAAGCAGAGCATCATACCATTCTCAAAAGCAGAAGGTAGCTTCGTAGAGGGAGTTTGATCTGATAATGGCACAGAATTAACACGAACAGTTCTCTCTAGCTCCAATCGAGCAGCCTTTTCTTTTTCTATCTCCTGGCAATAAAGATGAGCTTAATTCAGGAACTTAACAAACAATAATCACCATGGTTCCCATAAGATAGATGGAATTTAATATTATTACAATACCATACCTCTTTTTTTCCATTGTTTCTATTCAAATAGTTTGCCTAAATATTCTACATCAGCTCACTAACATATATTTAATTCCAATCATCCATATAATGTTGAAAAGTCCACAATAAAAGCAAGTTGGCTTTCTTTTGTAACTTTATTTTTCAGAAAAATTCTAACAGCATGAAACCAAGTCTCTCTCTCTCTTTTCTGGTTTATTCCACTACCCACATTGGATGAGAATAAAAGATAAGAAATTTAGTGGAAAAAGAAACCAAGAGCTTCATCCAACATGTTTAACGATGCTAAGTTTGGAATCCATAAGCAAAAGTTCTACCTGCTGAAGAAGCTCCCTGTGTATCAATGCATCATGTAACTCTTGCTTGTTTTTCTGTCTAATTTCTCTAATCTCTTCCTCAAGCTGTCTCACACGGCCTTCTTGAGTGTCAGCCTCCTCCTTTACAGCAAGATATTCCTGCCTACTTTCAGCTGCCCTTTGTCGCTCCTTTTCTAGGGTCCTGCTTAACTGAGTCTGTTCTGCCCTAAGACATGAAATCTGCAATTCATTGTTAAAGTAAGACATACAAATTTGACATTAAAAGCATGATTTCACCCAAAAAATTGCAGGACCTGAGCCTCAAGGACATTAATTCGAGACAAGGTTTGAGATAAGCGTTCATTCACAGATCGCTCTCTCTCCTCAGCAGTTGCAGCTTTAGCCTCAGCTTCCTGTAGAATCCATAGGAAAAGATGAGGAAATGCAATAATATCAAGAGGAAAATTTTTAAAATTAAATTTAAAAAGTATTCTAGAGACCTGAAGTCGAGAATTGAGAGTTCTTTCAACAGTAGCCCAAGCTTCAGCTCTTCTGGCATTTGTTTCCTGTTATCAGGTGCATTCTATTGTAGTACATATCCCATCAGCAGAACAAAACAGAGGGAAAAGCAATTTTGGATCATATGTGTAGTAACCTGCATGGCTTCAATTTGCCTTAAAAGTGGCCTTGTGGATTCTGGAACTTGTGTAATCAGTTCCTCACACCTTCTTTCACTAGCCTATCGAAACCAAAACAAATTATAAAAACAACCAAAAGCACAAATGAAGTGGCAAAAACTTAAATAAATCAAGGAAAAATACCATCCTCAGGAAGTAAAATAATTGAAAGGCAATCAGAGTAGGATAGCATACCTGGTAGCGTTTTTGAAGATCCTCAATGTCTCTGCGAAGCATGTCTTCTTTGAAGACCGCCTGGAAACATATATATGAAGAAAACATTAAAACTTTAAAGTAAAATCCAGACCAAGTCAACTCAGCGAAAAGAAAAAACCTGTTGTTCCTTTCTACTTAATGTTTGCCTCAATTCTTCAAGTGCCTGGACTAGCATAGATTCACGTTCCTCAGCTTCTCTTAGACGACTCTCTAGCTCAGTTCTTGCTTCATTGTTCGCACGAGCCTCTGCTAATGCTTCAGCCTCCTTAGCAGCAGCCAAAGCATTAGTATAATATTCTTTCTGTGCTGCAATTTCATTTTGATGTTTTTCTATTGTTTCTTGTAATAACTTCTCTGTAGCTGTCTTGTCCCTTTTGATACTTTCTACTTTATTCTCCTCTACCTGGATTGCATGACATTAACCAAACAGCAGTTTCAATAGAAGTAACTAATAAATATGAGGATTGTCAACACGTACTGCTCCAAAAAAGAATGACACTTTCAATCATATTGAAGATTGTCCAAGACTCCACAGTAGCACATAATAATAAGTCATAATGAACCTATACTAACAATATGAAACATAAGTTACAAATAGTAAGATGGGATTTTTAAAGTCAAACTATACCAATGAGAAATTGTTTCTGGCAAAAAGACAAACAACTTGAACAAGTGAATTAGTGAACCCAAAGAGCAAAGATGAACGCAAAACAGCACTCTACAATCAATAGTGCGTGAAATTTCTGCCTCCCACATTCCATGTTGAGTGAAGGGAATTAATTAAAAAAAATTATCAGCAAAAAATAGCTTTCAATAATGTTTTCAGAATAATTCCATTACCTGAAGTTTAGTATTCAAACCTTTCTTCTCCTCCTCAAGATCTCTAATCTAGCTTTCATAAAAAATGGGTAATTAAGAAATTTATTACAATATGTAGGTATAGAAAAAGGTTGAAGATTGTGGGAATTTATAGTGATTAGTCTGCATACCTGAGCCCTTAGTTTCCTAATTGTAGATTCTTGAGCAGCCTGCTTTTTGGAAAGCTCTTCACCTAAGATGAGAGACAGACTAATATGAAGAAATGCCCACTATAATCTCCAGCAACTAAACTATTAACATGCTTCAATAGCAAAACTTTTTTATTACAACAGAAAAATCCCTTTAAATGAAATTATTCATGTTCCAACCAAAGCAAACAACAGTAACAATTCACATACAAAATTTATCACACATCATCCTTCTTCAATTTAACCCTCTCACTTTCCTATAGACATTTTACAAGTCTTTCTACCGAGCCAAACAATAACAGGATATGAGGTTGCTGGGGTATGCCTCAGATTCTCCATTTAAGGGAAATAATAAAATCTCTAAAGGCATAAATTTGAAAAGATATCCAATCAAAACCTTTATCCTATAACCTAATATCCCAAGCCAAAGTGTCCAGCTGACAAGATCTCACTTTCTAATTACAATCTTGAACACACCAAAGTAGAAGCCACAACAATTGCATTAATTAAATACTTACCTTCCCCAGCTGTAAAATTTTGAAAGGCAAAAATAAGTATGCACAATGCATCTAGTTACAATCTTGCCAAACATTCTATACCAACCAAGTTTATGTCAAACTAGGCATTAATGGAAGAACCTTCAACAGAATCATTCAAAACCAAGTAGCATCGACATGCTGAATGCCCCCAAAACCAGAAGCCTCAAAATCTGACATACTCTAGATACAAGATTTTCTAGGAACTGTCAATGGACATAATAAATATGTTTGGAATAATTTATAAACAAGTGACATTAATTAGAGCCCCCACCCCCCATCAATTACCAACACCACACTAAGCATAATTCCATCATGGGAACCTCAAAAGGAAATCTTTCCTTGGGCCAAGTAAAGTGACTGATTAGAATTTTCAACATAGAAAGCAAGTTTATATATATTAATATGCAAGGGTTTTGAATGTTCATCTTTCCTGGTCTGAGTAAAGGTGTTGACAAAGTATTTATTACTCTAATAACTATGAATATTCATCTTAAAGAAATCCAAAGAAATACCCAACTCAATAATTCGATGCCATAGTTTTTGTCCCTTTAGACTTTGCTGACATATATGTAAAAGGACAATCCTCATAATAAACCCAAAAGAGACACTAACAAAAAAAAGGGTTCTGCATCAACAAAAGCATTGATGATACAAAGTTAGGTTTGATTTCAGACTGTGCTACCTTCTGCCATAACTTGATTAATTATTTCATCCTTTTCCTTCAAGAGAGCAGCTGCATCACTTTTTTTACTCTGCTCTCGGCGAAGTGTATCCCTTTCCTTAGTAAGAGCATAAACCTGCATTAAACGCACAAAATGCATAAAATTCCATAACAATTGTAGCTCAAACTAGATAGCATATACTTCTAAACATACGCATAATGCCCAACAGTCCTCTTCAACAAACCACATTCTTCAAAATCCAATAAGAATTTCTAACACCAATCTCCAATGCTTAAGATTCTCATGTTCTACTATTGAAAATATAAAAAAATTCACTTTGCTTTCATGGGAACTTCGTGTTTATCATATGCATTCATATTGCAAGAATTTGATTGGTATTCCCCCCGTTTTAAAAAAAAAAAATGGCAACATCAATCTATAATATGACTGGTCTCTTATTAATATTAAGAGAAATTTGATCCACATCCCTCAAAAGATAGACACACCCTGCAGTCTACGTGGCATCTGTGTAACAAGAATCTTGAGAACAACATCTGAAATGCACACTAAGCATGCAAAGGAATACATGCAAGCCTTAATAGTACTTCTGTTATTTGTGCCACACTATGTCAGTTTTTATGGTGAAAAAATCAATCAGAATTCAATGTACAGACTTAAAGTACTATATACAACTTTTGAATTATGCATGAGTTAAATTACTGATAACTTTGTTAATGATAATTAAGCACAAAAAACAAATATGATTTACAACAAGTGATACCTTTCTCTCAAGAGTTGCAACCCTCTGATGGTATTCCTCTCGCAAGGACTCAACTTCGGCCTCATTGGATTTTCTCTGCTCCACACAATTAACAGCAATGAAATATAAACATTTCAAACGAAGTGGGACAAGGGATAGTGAGCAATGCACAATAAAATGTGAAATAGAAGTAAGGAACAGTAGCAAATGCAAATTAGTTTAAGAAAGCCAAAGGACTTTCACAGAAAGAGGTACAAAGGAAAACGGATACTTAGTACACAAGGAAAAAAGATCAAGATTACAACATAGCTGACAATATAACAAGGTCACAAGAAAAACATCCAAAAAATACATGTAAAAAAACCATCTTCAATAAAATAATTTATACATCTAGAGCTGACAAAAGATGAATCAAGAAGAAAAATCCAAGTAATTCCAATTAAATCTACATTTTATTTGAAAAAAAAAAAAACTACTGCACCACATCATCAGTCATTGACAAATAAACATCCTTCAGCTCTTTTTTTCAATGATATTATTAATTATTTAGTTAGCCAATTCGTTTCCCTAGTGCTAGATCACGTCTAGGAAAAGGCAAATAGGATCCACAGTTAGCCTCCAATGCAACTACATATGCAAGAATCATCAGTTTGAATGTTTAATAGACATATGTTAATGCAATAATACATAGATGACATCACACAACTGGAAAGGTTAAGGAGGTAACAGTAGAAAAACTGTGCATTAAATCATAATGTGGCACAAACTACTAGGTTTTGAAAAAACAAATATACCTTGAGATCCTCAATCAGAGTTTTTAATTGTTCATTTTCATTCATCAATTTTGCAATCTCATCAGCTTTAGCCTGCAAAGAGAACCAAAATTATGAAAATATAATAAGATATGCAATACTATAATGGCCATTAAAATGCATATAGAATATAAAGAATGAGGAGCATAATTAGAAAAGTAAGCAACTTCTTGAACATATTGAGACATTGAAAAAACAATTGAAAAATCAAATGGATTTTATCCATTAAAAAAAGTCAAAAGAGGTTATAGATGAAGAATAGGGGTATAATGACACAAGATACCATCTTTATGACGAAGTGAATTGGTATACCATATAACAATCTTCATTTTCTTTGCCTGATGTACAAGAAGCTACGCAAAGTATCTTGATTAGGATCAGGGCAAAAAAATATATATAGCACCTCAAGAACTTAGGCCTTAACCAAGAAAAAAAGGACAATAGGCCAAGAAAAAACTCTTTAAACAGACAAAGTCCATCTGGGGACCATGCCATCCATTCATCATAGTTTTCATGCTAAAAAATCTGGGCATTTAAACAAATGAATATGCATCACAAACACTTTTGTTGATGATAATAAAAGGAAACAATCCATCACCTCTCAATCAGTCCATAATGGACCAAGAAAAGTTGTTTATGACAAAGTGAATTAGAAACTTAACTATTTTTACACACATAACAATTTCCATGATCTTCGTTTTATGTAAGAGAGAAGGTTGCAAAATATATTGTGCAGGTAAAAAAAAAAAAAAAAAAAAAACTTAATACAATAGGCCACTAAAAAGTCTACCAACTAGCTACCTAGAGACCATGTGAACCTAGTTTTCATGCTCAAAACATAACAAGATTTGAGCCCTACATTGCTTTCCATCTGGGCACTGGCAACAAAAATGAATTTGCAAACAAAAGCTTATGTTTCAGTCATGATAATGTGCATTATATGAAATACCTGAGCTTGTCTTGCAGCACCTTGTAGTGCAGCTTCCATCATTTTCATCTCCATCTTCACCTTCTCTAGTTCAAGCATGGAACCTGAGTCAGACATAGTTCTTGCAGAACTCAAATGCTGCTCTTTCATATCAGTTTCAACATCGTTGGTAAAGTGGTTTTTTTCATTTTCTTTAACACTAGCTCCATGGTCATGTGAAACAAATACTGATATCACCTCAGAAGGTTCATGCAGGGGAGTAGCACTGGACAAGCTTTCATTATATGATTGATCAATCCTATTGGTTTCCTCAGAAGCCACAGAATATAGAACAGAAGTGTCGGTATCATCTCTTTTCTCACTGTCACCTGATGCCTCGGGTTGAACAGAAGAAATTCTCTTTGCGCTTTCTTCGTCTTGCATCCTCTCTTCTTCTTCTTTACTCTCCTCTTTTGTCGTGACTTGAAAACTTTCATGCCCATCATTAATACCATGTACCTCACCAGGCTCACTAGTAACACCCTCAACTAAGTTGTCCTCAATATGAGAAATCATGGGTTGCACCAAGACTGGACTCCCAGAGGCTTCCACTTCAGCAGTCTCTGCCTCTCTAGGATGATCAACAGAATCCAAACTATCATGCTTCTGCATTGGGGATTCAGACAATTCTACACGCATCTCCAGTAACTGGTGTTCCTTTCCATCTTGCAAATTCTGTGCAATTGTTTCATCTGCTGACTCTGTACGCTCACCATCTTCTTCTACCTTAAGCACTTTATTTTCTTCTCGAACAGTGGTTTCTTCAGCTTCCATTTGGACTGCGTTATCAGTTTCGAGGGCTTCTTTTCCCTCAGCCACAGGTGTATGATCCAGAGACTCAGGTCGTTCTGGAGACTTCTCGATTTCAGACTCGTGTTGAGAGGATTCAGCATTTTCAGACATTTCTTCTCTAGTTTCCTCACTTTTGTTCCCCATAAAGGCCATAACAGGATTAAATAGTGTTTTCGTGTCAGTGGACATCGGCCATGATCCTGCAGCTGGAATACAAAAAACATAGGGCATAGCTCTAATCAGTGTCAAAACTGAAAACTCCCCATGTGAAGAACACAAATTCCATCCAGCAATCCAAAGATCATATCTTACAGCAGTTAATAAACTTTGCATCTACCTCAATCATACAATTCACGTACGATAAGAAATCCATTCAGAAAACAAGGATAAGTGACCGGAACTGGAATGAATTACCTTCATTGCTGGATTCAGACTTCTCTTCGAAGCCAAGAGCGGAATCAAAATTCTTCTCAATACTCTTCACACTCTCCTGAAGCTTATTCACGGCTCCAGCCAAATCAGGGAAGTTCCCCCACGCATTTTTCCCACTAAACCATGCCATCTCGAACGCTACAAACCAAAATAAAGTCGAACCGTGATGCACATTACCAATTGAAAACGCAGCCTCAATTCAAACTTCAGATCACAGAAAAGGAACAACAATATAACAACAGAAATTAATATGAAAAAGAAAAGACGATCGAATCAAATTGATGCAGCACAGCACACCAAGAAACAGTTACGCATCTAAAAAAACCATTGATCTGAAAGGGGGGGAAATGCGAGGTAAATCTGAAATCGGAAAATACAAAAGGAATAGATGAATGCAGAGGGATTGAGTTGGTGAAGGGATAATATAAAAAGACGGACCTTAATGAATGCGTTGGATCGAGGAATCAAAAAATGGAGATGGTATTGGAAGGGGTGGAACTCATAATTGAAGAATGAAAAGCTTGAGCTACAAATGAAATGAAAGAAACAAAAGTTTAGGGTGAAAATAGCGTGAAATGGAGAGAAGCGTTGGGGGAACGCGGGAATGGAGGTTCGATTTGATGACCTCTGCAAAGCTAATGCTATGCGAGGGATGACGGATCCTCCTCCACCGCAATTCTAATGCTTTCCTGGGGACGAAACCAACGCTGTCGTTTTACTCTCTCCTCCTTCTCTTTCTTTCTCTTTTCAATTATTTTCGCCAGCAGGTATGCCTACGTTTCCAAATCATATTAATCTGTAGATGTACTACTATAAACCTAACTAAATAACCTCCAAATCACATGCTTTAACTAAATTTTTTTTATTTATGCTAAAATATAATTATTTAATTCATTAAGACTAATAAAATAATATCATAAATTTACGTTTTATTTTAAAAGTATTTATAATATAAAGTAGTCAAAGTAGTATGTTATATATTAAATATATGAACATATCAACTTTTATGGATAAATGATAGATAATTCATTAATACAAATCTTATAATAAATAAGAGTATAAAAAAAATAAAGAATTAATGTATTTGAAAAAAATCTTTATTCCTTATATCTAAAACTTAAAAATATCAATAATTGTTTGTTATAAATAAAATCAGAAATAATATTACACTTCCATCAAATTTTTATAATTTTTATTATAATTTTTTATTATTATATCACTCATTTTATTTTATATTTCGTTTTCCTCAATTTTCTTAAATTTTAAGAATTGTTGTGGAAAAAAAAATTGAGAACATTTTTCTTAATATATAACTTTAAACTCGAAGCATTCAATTTTGTATTAAAAATTTGTGAAGACTATATAATCAAATATCAAAGCTTTTACATTATGCAATTTTTGGTACAACAATGAGAGACTTTAAATAGATAACATAAACACAAACACAAGCCAAATTAAACGGCTCCTATATAGAACTTTTGCCATTTGTAAGTTACATAATTCTTAGACTAATTAACGGTGTTTGGTTTCACGTCTAAGAAACAAGTGCGCGTGTTTCTAATACACAAGTTACTCTTGAGAGTCTCTAAAATTGCGTGCGTTTAAACTCTTCTACTGCAGAACCAAATTCATATTTATGGTGGATCAACAATAACACCTAATGTATAATATGTTCTTCAAAAAATTTGCCGGTCAATAATGTTAGTAAGCAAGAACAAAACTAGTGATGCTTATAATCTAGGAAACTAAAGTGGAGATTTGCAAAATTCCAATGTCCAAGACTGTTGTGCAAGCCATTTTTCCCAACTAAATTGTGGGTCCTTCACCAATAATCACCACATGAACACATTCCATGTTTAAAATGATGATAACGATTGACGTCTCTCACAGTAATCTCCCTCTCCGTGATTTTTGAGATGAACTTGATAGCAACATGGCAGTCCTCACAAATTCGGAGATTCTTTGTTATCAAAAGCCTGGTTCCTGGTGATGTACTTATGAGTCCAAATGCAATAGCAAGTCTTTCACTGTGACTGCACACCATGTTTGTCTTCTCATCTTCTTCCACATCATGAAAAACAGATCCTGTATCTGGGACATACCCAGCTTCTCGCATTAGTCCTTCTAACCTCTTCAACTCTGCATATATTGCATCGGAATTTGGGTATGAAACATCTCCAGAAAGAAATGCATAGACCCTGTTCTTTACTTCAATCCAGCTGCAAGCAATGTTTTTCTTTATTCCTTTATCTATCATTAATCGCCTCAATGTTGCAACTCCATCCCACTTACCTGATTGGGCATACATGTTAGCCAAAATCACATAATTGCCAGAATTATCAGGCTCAAGCTCAATTAGTTTCTGTAAAGCTATCTCTGCCAATTCCACTTTCCCATGTATCTTGCATGAATTAAGCAGAGCACCCCATACACCAGAATCTGGCATTACACTCATGTGTCTAATAAGATCGTACGCCTCATCCAGTTGACCACAGTGACCAAGGAGATCAACCATGCACGTGTAGTGTTGTACAGTGGGATTGATACGGTAATCCCTCACCATCAAGTTATACAATGCTCGCCCTTCATCGAGTAAACGCCCTCGGCTGCAAGCTGCAAGAACACCAACAAAGGTTATAAGGTCTGGCTGAGCCTCTTGAACCATTCTCTCAAACAAGTCCAGAGCTTCAACAGAAAGACCATGCATTGCATAACCAGTAATAATTGCATTCCAAGAAACAACCCTTTTCTCCCTAAGCTGCTCAAACAAAGCACGGGCAACTTTCACAGAACCACATTTTGCATACATATCTACCAAAGCAGTTTTGACCTTGTCATTGTATACAAACCCATGTCTCCAACCAAATCCATGGATCTCCCTCCCGTGAGGAAGACAGGCAATGTCAGCTGAAGACGAAATCACCGTCACAAGAGTTGCCTCAGTGGGTCTTACGCCCTTTGCCACCATCTCACGGCACAGGGAAAGTGATTCATCAGGGTGTCCATTTTGAGCATAAGCTGCCAGCATGGAGTTCCACAACACAGCATCTCTTACAACAATTTTATCAAACACGTAACGGGCGTCCAACAGGTAACCAGACTTGGCATACATGTCAACAAGAGCTGCACCTACAAACACATCCCTCTCCCACCCAGTTCGTATCACACACTCGTGAACGACTCTTCCCTCCCCAACTGCAGAGAGTGCTGAGCATGCCTTGAGAACAAATGGGAAAGTGAAGTTATCAGGCTTGAGCCCATACTCAAGCATCTGGTGGTAGAGTGAAATGGCAGCCTCGTGAGGCCCATTCCACGCATAACCCCGAATCAACACGTTCCACAGAAACAAATTTCCTTTGGGAATTTTGTCGAACAGATGATGGGCATCCCGCAGGGAGTTGCAAACGCTGTAAAAATTGACCAGTTTAGTGGCCAAGTCTTGATTGTAAGAAATACCCAGTTGGCACAATCGGGCATGGAGCTGTTTCCCGGGCCTTAACACCTTGGAAGCGATACAAGACTGGAGTAGCGAAGCGTAATAGTAGTGATTGGATGGTGATAAAGGAAGTGATTCGAGTTGGTCCTGTAGTCTACACGGAAAAGGGTGGCGCTGAGGGTTTTGTTTAGCGGCAAGTGAGTGGTAAGAGAATCGAGGTTGGAAATAGAATGGTGGAATTGGGAAGAGGTTCAAAAAGAATGAGAGTATTGAGAGGGTTGTTGAGGTTTCCTTTGTCTTCCTAATGGAATACAAAGACATTTGGTTTCTCCGAATAAAACAGAGTATTCATTTCAAGTTGCAGCGATCATGAGTATTGGCAAATTCCCTGTTGCAGCCACATATTGTACACGTGGAAATTTTTTTAAAATATTGTGAACATTTATTCTCTTTAGTTTTTTCAGTAAGGCTTTTTATTATTAAAAAAAAGGTCCTTATTACAAGGTATTTTGGTAGTTCTTACAACAATATATTTCATAATTTCTGTTAAGATTTTTTTTTAATTCTTAACAATAGAGTTTATGAGAACTTAAATCAAAATCAGTAAATATAAATATTGACAGTAAAATTAATCTTAATGATATAATTAAATAAAAATAAAATTATCATTTTATAATATTTTATAAAATAAAAAGATGACTAACTTTCAATTGTTTTTTGTTGATTTGTAAAATTTAAATAAATGCGATTGTAAAAATTATTAGAGAAATAAAAAAAAATCATTAATCTGAACTAATATCATTAAAAAATAATTTATACAAAGTAATTAAGGGCTCTTAGAACCTAATCCCCTCCCTTAACGCAACCCTGCTCTGAGCAATTACAAGTTGAATCTAATCCTATCCATCAAATAGAAAGGAAGTTTTACCAATGATTAAAAGTTTATCCTTGTGTTAAGTTAGAATGAGTCTGACACAATAATCTAGTAGATAATACTCCTCAGTTTATATTATAGTTCATTTGCAGAGTAACATAAATTATATTCAGAAAATTTCATGAAAACATTTTTCCATTTTCCCCTTTTCTTTCCTCTCTCTTCTTTTGTTACTCTTATTTTTCCAACATCATTAGGTTTTCAAGGGTTTTCTTAGACAATTTTTTTTATCAAATATTTTACCCCATTTACTTTGTATACTTATCACTCTTATGTAAAAATTAAGTAAATTGATCACTTGTATTTTAAAAATAAAACAAAATTCAATAACATGGCTGTTTGTCATCTTATTTACTAAATACATTAATTTAGAGCAACTCAATATCATCTTATATAGAGTTATTCTTAATTAAACATTTTAGTTCATGAAGTTATTTTAAATATAGACAAAAGTTCAACTATAAAATTTGACTCAACCAAAATATAGTACCAAATAAATAACAAAAATGACTCACCCTCTTCTATTCTCAAGCATCATCACTTGGTGATGATATTAGAATTTATTTATTTATTAACACTATAAGTGATAAATTAAAGCAGCCCAGTCGCATTAACAATTGGATCAGCTTGGGTTTGTTATGTTTGGTCATTGAAGAGGGGTCCAAAATAAGTTTTGCTCCAATATTGAATTGAGTTGACCTTCTTGACCCAAAAATATTAAAAATGAGTTGGCCTTAACAAAAAATAAAAAAAAAGTTGAGTTGGCAAGAAGATCGTGTTGCAGGTATGAAAATTTTGACTATTCCAACTATAGGCAAAGGGCAAGATTTAACTACGATTTGTTACATATTTTTTGTTTATTTAAAATACGAGTTTAACTTTAATACTCGATTTTTATTATGCAAGTTACTAAAATAAAAAAAAATAATTTAAAATATTAAAAACATAACTTGCTTATATTGAGTAAAATCATTATGAATGTCATCTTTTTTATTTTTTATTTTTGTATTTAACTTACCTACATATCTGAAACTTAAACTTATATCCTTGAATAAGCTAAAATAATCACATGGTGTGATCCACACACTCAATGATGATATTATAAATCTTTCGTTTTAAACTAAACTACTTATTTAGGAATGAGAAACTCTTAAATAGGAATTTTGGGAAAATTAGTAACATGCATGGGTTATGATTTGACTTTCTTAAGTGTACCATATTTACAGGAAATTACCACGAAAACGTAATAATTTTACAACTCATTCGTCACAAGAAAGTTTTAGAATTCAGTTGAAATATATCGATTATGTAAAAAAAAATTGTATACTTCCATCCAATTATGCAATAATATGTTAATAAAATTTATTGACTTTTATAATATTTGATTTAAAAATTATATATATCGATAATGTATTTTAATTGATTAATAACGTTAAAGTTGTTACATTTATAATGCACTAATACTAAACTCAAAGTTTTATTTTCATGAAGATAGTATTTATTTTAAAATATATATTTTTTCTCATTCTAAATATGAAATTTTTTTATTACATGTCAATTTCTTAAAAATAAAAGGTTTAAACATTCTCTATACCGAATACCACCTCAAGGTTTGCCATAAACAAATACTACTAACATGACAACAATGCGACAGCTGAGAAGGCAATTTCATCATCGTGGAGTTTTTTCCTTTTCTTTTTTCTTTTTGGTTTTGCTTACTAATGTCTTTTAAGGAATTAAAAATAAAATATTTCTATTAAAAATTACCAGGAAAATATATTAAAAATTTGTCAATTAGACCTTTTAACTATTACTATTTTTTTTAACAATTATCTTTGAACCATTAATTGGCAGTTAGCTTTTTCTTTTATCAAAGTGCTGTCTTTTTGTTTCTATAATTCAGGAAGTATTTGCCAATTTGCGATTCTGAAAACGACAACCTTACATTTGAGGATATGCAAGGTTCCACATCTCAGCACTGGCATTCTAACAGTACATATGATAAAATATGATTAATTGTTTTCATTCTAGATTGTGTTTCTGATGCTTCTTTGCTTGCCTCATATTTGTTAGATTTTTTAATTGTTACAGGCACGAAGAATCTTAATTTTATTTTCGGTATGGTTTGCTTTTTGTGATTTTATGTGTTCTTAATAATTGTAAAAAGTATTAACTTATTTTCACTTCAATTGAAGAGTTTATTGAGGAATTTAGTAATTTACACAATAATTTTCTATTACTTTGATAAGACTGATAAAATCAACTACATAATCTATTTTCAGTATTTTTTTTGTGAAATACAGTATTAATCTGTAACTATTCATGAAAACAAATCTACTATTCTGGTGATAATGGTACTGCTGTGCTGTAATGTTTTAGTTGGAGTTTCTTCTATCTATTTTGTTCCACTACTCTTTCTTTTGAATTTTGTTGCATTTCACGTAAGGTGATGGTTCAGTGTAATATTTGCAATTTGATAAATTGTTTTCCATATCCTTGTCAAGTGTCAACTACTTAACTGTAGAATTGTCTTGGTAGTAATCACTGAAGTTTGAAGGTGACCAAGATTTGAATCAGGTGGATAAAAACACATTCCATATTGACTTGTTGACTGGTTTTAGAACATATAAGGGACAAAGAATTTAAGGGGGAAAAGTATAGATGAACAAGATAAGTACCAACTTGATAAATCCTAAATTAATATCCCCCTTATTAAAAACAAATTTATTAAAATACCCCAAAAATACTAAAAGCTCAAAAATTACATTAGCATCCATACTTTGATTCTTGTCAACTTTGTCTAATCCCCTATCAACAAACTTATTAATCTTTTGTTTACATAACAAAATATTTTTACAAAAGGCATTAAGAATGTTTTTAGTAGATCCACCTTTCATTAGTCTTTAAGAGTGGTCTAGTGAATAGCCCAAAACTAAATAATTATTCTGAATGCTGTTGCTAACTTCGATTGTCGAAATTTCCACCATTTTTTTATTTTAAATCTCAATGAAACATATAAATGATTTTAATGTGAAATTGAAGATATAATTGTATGGGGGAAAAAAATAGGATTCCTCATTTTAGAAGGAAATTAAATTTAGGATCTATTACTACACCATTCTGCAGGCATTATCTGAGCTTGAATGATATCAACTGTTACTGTCCAAGTCTTGTTAGATCTTCATCTTATGTATATGGATATGGTGTATGTTGCTAACACTGCTTTATGTAGAGAGCATTGTTCAATAGAATTCATGATACCATTTCAAATTTTCCTCTTTGGTGCAATCTCTTCTTTATGTATCCAACATTGTTCTGAAAAGTTGTAATATCAATAGAGGAATAAAATGAGAGAGTATTTTGTACCAAAATCCTCCATCAGTTAAATTAATAAAATGAGATGAGATTTCTATCGCGTAATTAGTACTTACACGAACTCGGTTTAAGCAGTGGCAGTTGGCAATTGAGCATTCATAAAAAGTGCACTACAGTGTAGAAATACTCATCAATTCTCTTTAACACACTGTGCTCCATGATTACACTTTTGAATATGCGTATGTGACAGCACCATTCGGTGTTAGCTTTTCATTCAGTTCCATGAGCTTCTATTTCATCCACTCTTCAAAGCTAACTGTCTCTCAAAGTTAGATGAAGAAATCTGAATTTTCATATCTACAAGAATTAATTGAAAAATATTTTTTTGAAAAACCAGGTCATGACATCCAATATTGTGGATTTAAATCATTCTGTTATGGATTTTTGTGGTATATGTGGCCTGAAAAATCCCTGAATTACGTGTCGTGATGGAATTTACAGGCTTAGCTTGGCTGTTAAATATTTCTATTTAAATAATATGTTGCTAATCTTAGGCAATGCTAGTTAGTGTAAAGGAAGATGCTCATTATGTTTAATTTGAGTAAATAGCCTCTTGTTTGTTTGATGGAGGATATTTTGGGGAAGGAATGGTGACTAGAATTGGACAGGAACACTTTGTTTTTCCCACTATAAGTGAGGGATTCTGATGATGTCTCATGAGGTTCCAGAACTAGTGATTTAAGTCTTTGTAGTTAAATTGATGCTGATATAGAATATGTAAGTGCTAGAAAACAAAATTTCAGATAATCTGTCTTTGATAATTTAAGACTGGTCCCTTGTTTCTGCTGTTGAAGTTGCAATTCTTTTCGCATACCTGCCATGTGATAGTTACCGCAAATTCGAATCATGAAAGGAACATATTTATTTTGTAACTTTCAAAAACAAGATATTTGTAATCTAGTTTGAAGAAAAAAGAGAATCAGTATCGTTGCTATAACTGGAAGACAATGAAGTAAAATATCAATAACGTTGAGCATCCAAGTAATTATCATTGTTAAATGCAAGAATTGTACAGGCATGTAATTTATCTACAACTTGTTATCTCTATGC